TTTTTTTTTGGTTAATCAAAAATCTTGATTACTTGAGTAACTGAACTTTTGAGTAATCATAATTTCCAATTAATCGAATAATTGAGTTATTTACTTTATGATTAATTAAAATTTTGAGTAATCAATTAATCGCACAGCCCTAATATAAAGTGTTATGGATGTGGGATGATTATAACCCGTGCCGACTTGCAGTTGAAGTTTTGATCCAGAACTTGTACTGAAGTAGTCATGCGGTGCGAAAAAATTTAACATCACATAAAAGTGTTCTTATACTATATGTATTTCCATCTGTATATATGACTGTGTGGATACATATGTACATATGTAGTTGATGCAAATTCTGCCAAATTCACAGTATTTAATTAATTGTTCAAAATCACGTTCTGTGAAAACGAAATAAAACAAACACAGATGATGTCTGATGAAAATAGAAACATTTCTATTTCGTATAAACGTGCATTTGTTTTGTACAGAAACAAATCGAATATGCCTTTACACGATATGTTGGTATTGCCATATGTAAAATGTGGCATGTACGCATGCAAATACATATCGTGTAAGAACGCTTTAGACAGTCGGCATGGCTATCGCACGCATACTGGAGCTGAAACGTATTAAATATGGACCGCAATCATTATGAGGTCCATCAAAAAATTTATATTAATAATTATTTTAAGATTTTAGAATTTGTTTTTAACAAATTTCTGAGTTTTTTCTCGCTTTGAAACAACAAGCGTATTTTATTTAACCATAACAAGCTAGTAGCTAAATCTTGGTCAACTAAAACCGAATTGGCTTATTTCCCATGAGCCGTGCACAGAAAAACTGATTCTTAGAGACTAAAAAATGCCTAGTCCGTTTGCATCGTGCGGGCGATGAGGCATGATGGGCAATATGGGCGTAGCCAGGTAGTGGTAACATTTTTCCTATATATTCCAAAATAGTACCAGGAAATGCTAGCTTAATAGTTTCAGCCCCACCAGAGAGGGAAGCTAGACGTATTTGCGGCAATAAGTAGAGAGAGGGCGAAAAACGTGAGAGCGAAAAGCTTAAAATGCTGGCCGACATGAAAAAAAGGGCCGACATTTTTATCAGAGAGTCAGGCGACTTACGGAAGATCTCAAGACTCCTGTAAGTACAACCATGGCGACCTAGTGACCGATATCCAGAACGTACATAAATTATGGAGGGAACACCTTTCGACCCTATTGAATGGCAGCACTGAAAGTTGTGGAGAAGACGAACCCGAGCCCCCAGTCAATGAGGATGGAGCCGATGTCCCAGCGCCCGACGATAACGAAGTACGAATAGCGATTATGCTGATGAAAAATAACAAAGTTGCTGGAACTGGCGGCCTGTCAGTCGAGGTATCCAAGTACAATGGAGAGGAGCTGGTAAGGTGCAGGTATTTAAGGATGCTCTGCCCAATCTACAAAAAAGGTGACCCTGCAATGCGCGCCAACTATCTTATCGAGCTTGTTGTGTGGAAGACTGAAACCCACCGTCAACGAACTGGTTGCGCCTTACCAGTGTGGCTTCAGATCTGCCAAATCCACCATAGATCTCGTATTGGCAATACGCCAAAACTTGGAAAAGATCCGTGAGAAAAAGCTCGACACACAACTTCTATTTGTCGATTTCAAAGCCGCTTTCGACATCACGAAAAGAAGTTGTCTTTATGCCACGATGCACATAGGAGTATTTGAACGATTTAGGCGGCCATAAACCAATTTGACAAAATTTTGAAGGAAACTTAAAAAAATAGTCACATCCGATAGAGACCATTCCAGATAACATATCCCAGTCTTGAACAAAAATTTTTAACAGCTGGAAACTCTGTTAATGTTTTAACCTAGATATAAACCTTCTCGCCGAGACGAACACGTAAGCATGCGTGTTTCTACAATCGGACCACGGCAACATGGAGTCTATCGAAACGTTAAGAAACTTTATTTTCTTAGTTTTGATGGAATAATTCGACGTCCTCTCCATTTTTTTTGAGCTTGAGGCCTATTTTTTTCTTTTTTTAATGAAAAATATTGTAGAAAAAAAAACAAGAATTTACTATTTTATTTTTTTTTTGCATTTGAAGTCATAATATCGTCACCAGAAATGCAAAAAGACGTAACACACATCGTCGCTGAAATGAAAAAAGTCGTAACTTATAAAAAGTTCAAAATTCACTTATTCATTGATACGATGGCTTTCATCGAATTAGAACTCCCCTCGACTTTTTATGAAAAAGGACTTTTTCCATTTCGGTGACGATGTTTGTTATGTCTTTATATTTCAGGTGACCGACCACCTGTGTGGAAGATGGACCTGTTTATTTATATATGTACATTTATGTATACAACCTTAAAAAATATTGTATTAGATAATCTATGCCTATGTATATAAATAAATTTAATATTTTTTTGCGTTCTCTGGTTGTACCACGCTCGCTGCGAGTTCGCGCGGCACGCGGCATGAAAGCAAAAGCACCCGTGGCAGGAGCGAAAAAAATTAACAAGTCATTTTTAGCAAAAAAAAACCGACTTAAAAAAAATATATATACATATATCTATATATTTCATGATCCAAAGATCGGATCTAAACCAAATTAGTATGGGACTACCTCTGAGACACTACCTTTATTATTGAAATCGGTTGACGTGGTGCAAAGTTATGCGGTAGCATACATAAAAAACAAAAAAAAAAAATATTCCGACGAACTGATAACCTCCTCCTTTTTTGGAAGTCGGTTAATAACTAGCGACTCCGTGTGTTTCCGTGTTTTTTTCTTTAAAATAATGTACTATAGAATAAGGATTGATATTCAATGTATACATTTGTCTATATCTATCTTGATTCGTTTTGGCTGTTACAAACAACCGTTATGTGAACAAAGTTAATATACCCTTGTGCACAAGTGCGCTCAAATTTTACATGTGAAATTATTTAGAAGTCTTGTGGTAACTTCTTTTTAACTTCGTAGCCAATACTTCAACTTCAAGTCGGCAAGTATTATCATCATCCCACAGCAATAAAACTTTTATATATTTATTTAGCTGAAAAGAAAAAAAATTTAAAGTATGCGTATCGATTTTTGCAAAAAAAAAAATGTACATAGCGCACACGATCTTCAAAATCATATGAACTGAAATTTTTCCAGTTTTCATAAATGCAAAAGCTAAATCTGAGGTAAAGCTCCAGTTACATGGGGCGATTTTGTAGACGACTCAACATTACTCTACAAAAATCGCTCGTGTAAATGGCAGGCCAATAGTAACTTTTGCAGGCCATTATCGCCTGTGAAGAAATCGCCTCATGTAAATGCATCTTTATGTTATGGGAAAGGGAGTCTTTGCTCTGATTTTTCCAGCTTAATGCTGCTTTCACAGGGACATAAATTCA